CTTCCTGGGTGCTGGGATTAAAGATGTGTGTCACCATGCCCAGATAAGTATTATTATTATTATTATTATTATTATTATTATCATCATCATTATTATTGTCAAAACCAGTAATTGTCCCTTGCCTTTTCTTTTCTTTCCTTTCCTTTTTATCAAGACGGGAAAGCTGGGTCCCCTCACCAGGCTGTCACACACTGTCATCACTAACTGGGTTTCTCCCCACCCACGTCCTGCCCCGTGAAGGTTTTCGTCTGTGTATCTCCACTGGCCTGGGCCCTGCTCCCTCTTAGCTTCTCCCCTTCCTCTCGGCCCACCCTGCTTGTTCCCACTTGCCAGACCAAGTCCCAGGAGCACCGTGGACCCTGATGCTCGGGTCTGCTCAGGCCCTGCGCTCCACAGGAGCCACAGCTACTGCCCTCCCGACCTGCAGAACGCTGACGACCACTTTCTTAGAGGAGGCAAGTTTGCCAGAAACGATCTTTCCCATGCACCTAACACAGTATCGGGCTGCAGGGACAAATAAACACCACCGTTATCAGGCCCACAAGATGGCTCAGTGGGTAAGGGGGCTTGCTGCTAAGGCTGACGACCTGAGTTCAATCCCCAGGAACCTCATGGTGGGAGAGAACCAACTCCTGCACAAAGTAAATAAATTACAAAAGAAATGCAAATAAAAATAAATAAATAAGCACCACCCTGGGCCCTTGGACATGGGCTTGCTTTTGGCCCCTACATCACCAAGCCTCGCAAACCCACACCTAGACCACTCTTGGGCTCCTGATCTGCCCACCCTGCATGTCCCCACCAGTACCACTAGCCTGGGTCACTCACCACCTGGCCAGGTCATACTCTTGGGGGGCATGGAGAGCTAAAGCTGTAACCACAGCAGGACCCTGGGGACTGAGCTTCGTGCCAGAAGGGAGAGGTGGGAATGGAAATGTCAGGCCGCTGAATTCCCCACGGATTGGCTGAGGCGCAGGTGGCCCAGCTCCGCCACCCACATTTCTGCTCCAACAGATAGAAAAGGTACCTTTGCAGCACAGCCCTGGTTGAGACAACTGCCACTGGGAGGCCTGAGCCCGAGTGACACTTGCAAGCTGGTGTCACAAAAGCTACATCTGGTCCACAGGATTGCACAGTTTAAAAAAAGAATCTCCGTCTTGGGGTGGGAGGTGTTTGCTTCTATCCAAAATGGGTCTTCTTCCCATTAGCACTCACTAGATAGAGGCTGTCACCCCACCAAGTCCCACCCCAAGGACTATGTTCTTTTGCAGGGTCTCTGGCTTTACCAAATGTGTCCTCAAGATAGGAGCCAGGTCTGTCCTGGTTGGCTTTTTGTCAAGTTGACACAGGCTTGAGTTATCTGGGAAGAGGAGCCTAAACTGAGAAAAGGCCTCCACCAGATTGCCTGGAGGCAATTCTATGGTATTTTCTTGGTTAAAGATTGGTGTGGGTGGGACAACCGCCTGGGGGAAGTGTTACCCCGGACAGGTGGTCCTGAGGTGTAAGGAAGCAGGCTGAGTAAGCCATGGAAAGCAAGCCAGTGAGCAGCGCTCTCCCATGGCCTCTGCTTCAGTTCCTGCCCTGACCTCCCTTCATGATAAATTCAGCTGTAAGAGGAAATAAACCCTCTCCTCACCAAGTCGCTTTTCGTCAGGGCGTTTATCACACCAAAGGAAGGCAAACTAAAGCTGGGCAGTGGCGGCACCCGCCTTTAATCCCAGCACTCGGGAGGCAGAGGCAGGTGGATCTCTGTGAGTTCGAGGCCAGCCTGGGCTACAGAGTGAGTTCCAGGAAAGGCGCAAAGCTACACAGAGAAACACAAAAACTAAAAATGTCTGGAAAAAGAAAAAGGCAAACTAAGACATGGTCCTAGAATAACCGCAGCACCTGAGCCTGGCCTGGCAGCCATGTAGGCGGCCCCTGAAAAGCCTGTCCCTAGGTGACCCTAGATTAAACACACTTGCAGCAGGGCCACTGTTTCTAACTGTTACGTGTATGTTCCGCTGCCTCCACCAGGAGAAATTGGGGACCAGGCAGGGACCGCATAGCTGAAAGCTCGAGACTAGCTGTCACCCTCACACTTTGCATCCCAGGAGACACAGCCAGCGTCCCATGGCCTGGTCTGGGAGACTTTCCTGTCACCTCCTCCCTCCAGAGATAAGAACCAGGAGGTGGAATCAGTGGAAGACTTCCCCTGGCCCAGACACTGGTGGGGGAAGAGGGGACCTGTGCCCCCCAACAAAGAAGCCAATTCTGCAGCGATAAATGATGCTTGTCACCCCCATCCCCACTGACCAATGTGAGCCTGTGTAATGGTTTAGTAGCACCCCTCCCCCCAAATTCTTAGTCACCTGGAGTCTTTTTTGGAAATGGGCTCTTCACAGGTGTAATTAAAACAAAGGCTCTTGATGTGAGGTCATGCCGGGTTTAGGGAGAGCCTAGCGCCAATGGCTGGTGTTCCAGGAGGAAGCTCGGGCAGAGGGAAAGGCCTTGCAGATGGGCGTGGTGGGCAAGTTTGGCAATGCTGTCACATGCCAAGGAACTCAGGGAGCCACCAGAATCTGGAAGAGGCAGGAAGACCCTCCTCTAGAGCCTTCACAAGCTATGGTGACCAGTGACCCCAATTTTAGACCTCCAGTCCTCAGAACAAGGAGAAAATGCATTGACGGAGCTGAGTCACAGATTCATGGTGACATGTTAAAGCAGCCTAACATCCACCAGGATCCTCAACCCCCCTGCAAGGTGGCCCCTGCCCTGCCAACCTCTCCCCAGAGCCAGTCCTTGCCAAGTCCTGAGAGAGGCCATCTGAAGCTCCCCTCCTGCTGGCAATCCTTTCCAGCCTCACATCCCCTCAGCCAATAAAGGCGTTTGCCAGCAAGCTGGAGGACCTGAGCTCAATCCCCAGACCTCATGGTGGGAGGAGAGAACAGACTCTCCTTCCACACGCATGCCATGGTACACACACGCACACACACACACACACACTCCAACACAATAAGTAAATAAACGTACCCCCGGGGCTGGAGAGGTGGCTCAGTGCTCCTCTAGAGGACACAGGTGCAGTTCCCAGCACCATATCAGGTGGCCATGGCTCCAGCTCCAGGGAAATCGAATACCTCTGGCCTCCAAGGGCTCTAGCACTCACCTACATCCTCACACATTGACACATCATTACAAATAATAAAACTCGGCCGGGGTGGTGGTGGCACACACCTTTAATCCCAGCACTCGGGAGGCAGAGGCAGGTGGATCTCTGTAAGTTCGAGGCCAGCCTGGACTATAGAGTGAGTTCCAGGAAAGGCGCAAAGCTACACAGAGAAACCCTGTCTCGGAAAACCAAACAACAACAACAAAATAATAATAATAATAAAAAAACTGAATCTTTAAATGCAATCACTTCGACTCCAGAACTGACCCCCCAGTTCTCTGCCTGATGTTCAAGGCCTCTGGAACCTGCCCAGCCCCACCCAGCCCCACCCCATGCCCACACGTCTCTGCTTGGAGCTCTCTCCCCAGCACCCTACCCCTACCAGTGTGACTGCCACCTGTCCTTCCAGTCCTCCCTAAGAAGACCCTCACCCATGCTGCCGCCCCTGTCCCATTAAGATGTGGAAGCTTCCAGAACACTGGGTCTGACTGTCCTCCACCCATGTTGAATGTCCCTACCCTTTGAAGTATCCGTGCACCAGGGACAGAATGTGCCCAGCTCTTCCCTGAAGACTTGTGGGTCCCAGCCCCTGGCCTCATTTATTTGGCGTAAATAACTTCACAGTGGGGATGAGGGGTGCAAAGCAGGTCAGGTCGTTGTCACGAGGATGACTCTCCAATAGCCCTGTGGCTGCCTTTGAGTCTTGGAGTCTGTGAGGGTCTCAGCCTGGCTTCCCACCCAGCAGGCACAGACATCCCACCAGGTCCCTTCCTGATTTCTGTCTTTATTTCAACTTATTTTTCTTTTTTATCAGGAGCATGATTTTCTTTCTGCTTTTTAATTTTGACCTGATATGGAGGGAGGGGGTAGAGGGGACCTGGCTGACTTCCTTCTCCAGGCCGCTCCAGTCCCATGTGCTGTGCCTACCCTACCCCCCACTAGCCACACCCAGGAGGATGGAAATCCTCTCTCTACAACCTCTGTCCCCACCCTGCTCCCCAGAAGCCAATGAAACTACAGAGGTGAGAAGCTGCCACCCACCCCAGCGCCTGCCCCATCCTGCATCGGCTGCACCCACTCAGCTTGTACATCTGAACCCGAGGTCAGAGGCAAGCGGAACAGAGGGTGGCCCCTGACACCCCCCGACACACACACATCCCGGAGGCTGCCCACAATCCTCTGGGAAGCATCTCAACTTCTTACCAACAAAAACTGCCCTGGTTGCCATGGTTACAGTAGAGCCACCCACCCACCAAGGCCTCCCAGGACAGGATCCCCAGGTATAGTCCCCCCCCCCCCCCCGCCCCAGTACTCACAGTATAACCAGGCGAGTCCCCAGAGCATGGTGGTGCACTGGGTGCCCCCTGAGAGCAGAGGCACTGTCCCCAGCAGTGTGTCCAGAGGCCTGAGCTAGGACCTACATGGCCTCGGGTCAGCAAAGGTGGCCACCAAGTCAGGAAGGGCTGGCCCAGGCTGAGAGGGGGCAGGTACTCCTGGGGGAGCTACCGCCCTATCTGCTAGGCAGGGCGGAGGACAGCCAGGGGGCGGTGGCTGCCAGTCCCATTGCAGTTCAGGAGCTGGTGTGAAACAGTGGCTTTGGGGTCTCAGAAGGAGGAGGAGGAGGAGGAAGAGAAGGGAGTCCCCGGCAGGCCTCTTGGAATCTGGGGCTGGGTGGCGCTTTCTCTGGTTTCTCCGACTGCAGCTGCTCAGTGTGAAGTCTAGCTCTGGAAAAAGAAGGAGGAGAGAGACCGATTATGTAAGAGCAGCGCTGCCACTCAGCCACCAGCCAGGGAAGGAAGACCCACCGTGCACGCTGTCCCCGCTGCCAGGACGGAGACACTCGGCCCTGTCTTCACACTCCACAAGTGACCCCAGGGCACCTCAGCAGCTGCCTGGGGCCGAGGCGTGAGTCTCCAGACACGGGCTGGCAGCCCTGCGCTGGGACTAAAGGAGCAGTGGAGCTCACAAGCCAGGAGGCTGCCTGGAGGAGGTGAGGCACCAGGTCCAGTCCAAGTGATACATGCTTCAGGGGAGGCGGAGGAGGGGAAGATGTCTCCACCACTTAGCTCCCTTCTGTCCCCCATCTGTGTCCCCTGCCAGGTAAAAACTGACGGGCCAGCTTAATCTGGATTCCAGATAAATGAACACCTTTTCTGGTGAAATATCTGATGTGTGATATTGTGGGTATCAAATATTGCATGGGGCCATAATGATGCCAATCAGTAAACACCACAGGCAGCCGTGGAACACAGCAGAGAAGCCACAGCATTCTAGAGTCTGAAGCAGGAGGAGGAAGAGGCCAGTGGGGGCACACAGCAAGACCCCGTCTCTAAAAAGCAAACAGAAGACTGAAGGGCTGGGTGTGGTGGCGCACGGTCTTTAATCCCGGCAGAGGCAGAGGTAGGTGGAGCTCTGAGTTCAAAGCCAGCCTGGTCTACAGAGGAAATTCCAGGCCAGCCAGGGCTATGCAGAGAAATCTTATCTCAGAGAAAGAGAGAGAGAGAGAGAGACAGAGACAGAGACAGAGACAGAGAGGGAGAGAGAGGGAAGGAGAGAGACAGACAGACAGACAGAGACAGAGAGACAGAGAGACAGAGACAGAGAGAGAGGGAGGAAGGGAGAGAGAGAGAGAGAGAGAGAGAGAGAGAGAGAGAGAGAGAAGAATTCAAGCCTGGCCTGCTGGTGATGAGCCCCGAGTCCACATCTCCATAGTGCTCCCTCACTCTCACAGGGCCCAGCAAATTGTGGGCTGTGGTGGTTCCATTTTGCAGACGAGGTAGAGGAGGCCATGGGCAGAGACAGCAGCTGGGAAGCTCGGTTTCTCACGGGGCTCTGTTCCACTCCTTCATGATCCCCCTCCTTGTATCTCCTTAGGTCAGGAGAAATGGCCACCACTGGAGGGGTGAAGTGGAGGGGGAGGTGTCTCCAAGCAGGTGTGACAGGGGAGACCCTCTCCATCGTGACATCTGTGACACACCTACAGAATGCACCAGATTGCTGGCCCTTGGGCTGGGTGCGCAGCTTAGTGGTCAAGACCTTGCTGAGGATACTGGAGGTCAAACCCCAGCGAGGAAGAAGCTAGGAAGTAGGAAGACCAAGGCCAGTCTGAGCTGCCCAAGGAATTTTTGGGCTAAGGCTAGCCTGGGGCAACATAACATGTTTCAGGTAAGCATGGGCTACATAATAAGGCCCTGTCTAAAACAAAACAGCAAAGCAGACAGACATGGTAGCCTTCCTCCTCAGAGCCTCTGAAGCAGGCTGGGCCACATACAATAGAGCCCATTGTTCAGATTTACCACGGGTTAGGACACTGGACTTCAGCTCGCTCCCTCCCCTCCTCTGACCTTCCCCCTGCCCTTCCCCCCTCTCCCCCACCCCACCCCGTGACCTTCCCATTATAGGGTCACTATAAGCACTACCCTAACTATGCCCCCCCAGAGGACAGTCTCATATTAGCCCTGGATGACCTCACACTCACTGGCTATACAACCAAGGGTGACCTTGAACCCCTGATCCTCTGGTCTCTACCTCCTGAGAGCTGGACTTACGGGCATGCATCCCCGCACTCCATTTTTATAGTGATATAGAGCTCAAACCCAGGGCTTCATGCATGCTAGACAAGTACTCTACCAACTGAGCTACATCCCCGGCCCCAACTACATCATCTTTTCCTTGTTATTTGCATGTTGCCGAAGTCTTGCACACATATATGTATAAATACATATATCTACACACATATATAGTTTTTTCAGTGTATAACTAAGGATTTTGACAAATTCATAGAGCTATGTAACCACTACAATAATCCAATTATAGAACACTTCCTTCACCGAAGAGACACCCACCTCTGCTGCTCAGTAGTGAACCCCCTCTTCTCACAACAGCACCGCAGCAGCCCACCTGTTTCCTGTCCAGCAGATTTTTTTTCCTCCTGAATGTCCCATAAATGCAATCTTGGAGTACAGATTTTGCATTTCGCTTCTTTCACTTGACATGATGAATTTGGGGTGCTGTCATGTTGATGAGCATGTTAATAGTTTCTCCTCTGTTTCTTTGCTCAGTAATGGTCCCTTGTGTAGACAAATCATTGTGTGTCTACCCACCAAGAAAGAAGCATTTGAATTGATCCAGTCTTTGATGATAATGAAAAATGCTGAACTCCTCAGTGGGCAGGTTTTGGTGTGGATGGAAGCGTCCAATCTCTCTTGGGTCCTTCTGTAGCTTTGAGTAATGTCCCACTGTCCTTTAGACCATCGGGGCTCTGCATACCAGCCTGGGCTGCCCACCACCACTACTTATCCCTGAACTCTCCCATGCACAGGAGATGGGGGAGGGGATCCTATAGTCCAGACTTCCTCACACAGGCACACACAACAAAGGGGTTCTTCACTTTGTCCAAACGGAAGAAATTTTGTTGCACCCTCTTTGTGTGTGTGTGTGTGTGTGTGTGTGTGTGTGTGTGTGTGTGTGTGTGTGTGTGTGCAGGTGCATGCCCACATGCACGTACAGAGGTCAGAGGGGGGTGTCAGGTGTCCTACTCAGTCACGCTCCACCTTATTTCTTTGAGACAGGGTCTCTCGCTGAACCTGGAGCTAGGCTGGCAGCAGGACACCCCAGCTATCCCCCATCTACCTCCTCCACAGACATTACAGGTGAATGTCTAGCTAAGACTGTTTGTTGGTTTGTTTGTTTGTTTGTTTGTTTGTTTTTGCTTGGGTACCAGGAATTAAAACCCAGGTCCTCATGTTTGCCCAGCAAAAGCTCTTGCCTGCTGAGCCACATCCCCAGCCCCCGCTGCAGCTTCTTCATTTAGAAAGGACTCCAGCACCGGACCCCAGCATGCATCTCAGTTTGTGTGTTCCCAGTGGAGAAGCCAAGCGGGAAAGAGAGGCACAGCTAATCGCACGTCACACAAGGTCACACAAGTATCGAGTCTGAGGCCCCAGTGTGAGCCCCATTGAAATGGGAAAGCGGGAGAGCGACCCCAAGGAAGCTGCCAAGAGGACGGTATGTGAGGACAGGCTTTGGGTCTGGGCTGTGGGCACAGGGGAAGTCAGGCTGCTGGCTGTGGTAGTCTGAATGAGATGTCCCCCATAGTCTCAGCTATTTGGATATCTGGTCCCAGCTGGTAGTGTTGTTTGGGGAGGGTTAGGTGTGGCTTTGTTGGAGGAAGCAGGTCCACTGGGGGCCAGCTTTAAGAGTTTAAAGATTCACCATTTGGAGTGAATGACTCTCTAGGCTTCCTGCCTGCGGTTCCAGTCATCCCACCTGCTGCCTCCTCTCCACCACCATGGACTCTTAACTCTCTGGGACCGTAAGTTCAAATAAACTCTTCCTTCTATAAGTTGCCTTGGTCATGGTGTTTTATCACAGCAACGGAAAGTATTGATGCAGTAGCAGAAGAAAGTCCTGCTCGGAGCCCTCCCTGGCAATGAGACCCAACCCTGACCTGCCATCTTTCCTTCCTCAAGACTGACTGTGACTTCCTCAGATGCCAGGAGGGCAGGGCCTGCCTGGATTTCTCTGTCTCTACCTCTCGGTCCGGTCCAGTCTCAGGGTGAGGATGGAGGTGGAGGAAGAGTTTGGCCTTTCCCAGTCCACCCCGCCCCGCCCCCTGGGGCTCCTGGCATTACTGGGAAATTCGTGGAGGGGAAGGACAAAAAAATAAGAGAGGGTGGAGTGGTCAGCATAGTTCCACGATGAAAAGCAGTCTCTAAGTCACAGAAACAAATGAAAAGCAAATATCAGTCTCACTAAATCATGACTCCAGGGTCCTGGGTTCGGGGCAGGGTCAGCGAGAGGGCAGGTGTGGGGGGAGGGAAGCGGGCGAATGAGCTAAATCTTCCATGGAGGGAAGCAAGGACTTGCTTGTGCGGCTTGGGAGCGATTAGATGTAGTTGTTCATGTCTGTTTTTGTGCTAATGGAGTTGGAGCGCAGGGCTGAGAGCATGCTAGAGGTGAGTGGCATAGTTCTTGCCTTCTCCAATGGGCTACATGCCCAGCTCTTGATAGCTGGGTTTTGCTTTGAGACAAGGTCTCATGGTGCAGCCCTAGCTAGCCTGGAACTCACCATGTAAACCAGGCTGGGGTCGAACTCATAGAGATCCATCTGTCTCTGCCTCCCAAGTGCTGGGATTAAAGGTGTGTGCCTCCATGCCTGGCTGTTAGCTGTTTTGTTTGTTTGTTTAAATTCCTGTATGTGGAAAGCAGAAGGTGTGGAGGAGGGAGGTGGAGACCCGATGTTGTTTAGAATACCACATTGAACTATTTTATCCTTTAATGCTGCAGAGAGAACTTGGATTTTTTGTTTTGAGGCCAGCTCTACGTGTGTATCCCAGACTAGCTTCAAATTCAACGTGTAGCCTCAAAGATGACCTTGAACTTCTGTTCCTCCTGCTTCAGCCTCCTGCACTGGGATTGTCGGAGGGGCCACCACTACCCTTTTGTGAATTACCAGGGACCAAAGTGAGAACGTGGGCCTAAAGCGCTCTACCAATTGTACTACACCACAGCCTACCATTGGGACTCAATTTTTTTTTTCTTTCTAAGGAACTCCTATTTTGAGCTGTCCACCCAAGTCAGGATCTCTCACTGCCCCCTCCCTTCCGAAGTCACCTGCTTTGGTCTTTCCCTGTCTGAAGACTAGCACCTCCTCCTCGGGGAGGGGGCTTTGGAATCTGAGTTGCGATCACAGCAGTTGAGCTCTGGAGCCAGCCAGTTCTGAAGCACAGAAGACAAGGAAACTGTCAGGACCTGCGAAGTCCTGAGAGTTCCCAGGAAGCCTCCATCAGCTCTGGGACAATCACCTTGCAATAGAGGCTGAAAGAGTTTGTTTTCACAAACTGTAGGCAAGGGTGAGTTGATCCAGGTTGATCTTCACTGACCAAGAAATGGGCTTGGTTGGTGCATACTGAGCTCAACTGCTCTTGCCTGGGCTTAGCTGAGCCAAGCTAATCGCCACTGATCCGCCCTGGACTCAGCTGTTGTACACTGTGATCTGCTGATCCAGGCTGAGCTGTCTGACCTAAACTGGCCTCAGCTTGCCCAGGTTGGACTCTGCTGGTTCAAACTCATTCAGCTGATCCCATCTGAGTTTGGCTGGTGCAGAGTAGCCCAGGGTAGCCCCACTCATGTTGGTGAGTTTGCAGAGCTGATCTAAATCGGCTTCACTGGGATCACGTCCATCGGGGTAGCCTGGGCTAATTCTCACAGCAGAGGCAGAACCCCAAGAAAGGAGGCCAGTGAGTCAAGGCCCCCTAGGTGCTAGACTCAGAACAATGACTTTCTGGTGAAAGGAGCAGTGCTGTACTGTGAGGCCTGGATGGATGGGTGTGGGCAAACAATCGGGGCCGTGTTTGCAACCCATCATTTACACCTACCTGGAACATTCTTCTCCCCCAAAGAGGCAGGCATGACCTAAAAGTATTAGGGGACAGAATATTGGGTCACCTGCCCAGCCTGGCCACTTTTCTTTAAGTAGGACAAACCCCAAAAGACTTCAGAGGCATTCCTTACAAGCCCACATCCTAGAGATGAGAAATGGAGACCTAGACAGGGAGGGAACTGGCCCAAGGCCATATCCGGGCCTCCCAGCCCACTTTCCTTCTGGGAACCAAGCCATGGCCCCTTAAGAATGTAGGAGGCTCAGGCAGTGAGCTCAGGGCTCAGGGCTGGATCAACAGATGTTCTAAATAGGGAGGAGGTGGAAGGTAATGGGACTGAGCGTGAGCCATAGATAAATGGAGACAGCTGGGTGTGGTGGCACACTTGGAAAGTACAGGCATACAGGCAGGAAAGTCTGGAGGATCAGGAGTTCAAGGCCATCCTGGGCTATATGAAACCCTAACTAAGGGGCAGGGGTATGAAATCTATAGACATGGGCCCTGTGGTAGGGGATTAGGCAGGATTCGTACACAGTTCCTGTATCTGCTTTTGCTTACTTCTGTTTTTCTTTTTTAATTTTTAAATGTGCTATTATATTACCCTGTGTGTGTGTGTGTGTGTGTGTGTGTGTGAGAGAGAGAGAGAGAGAGAGAGAGAGAGAGAGAGAGAGAGAGAGAGAGAGAGAGCAGGACAACTATGGAATTGATTCCTCTCGCTGTGAGATCCAATGATCCAATTCAGGCCATCAGACTTTTGTGGCAATTGCTTTTATCCACCTAGCCACAGGGACTGCCCCCTTTTCTTTTTCCTTCCCTCCCTCCCTCCCTCTCTCTTTTATCTTTGACAAGGCCTCACATAGTCCAGGCTGGCCTCAGACTTGGTATATACAGTCAAGGATAAACTTGAACTCTTTGCGTCCTCGGCCTCCACCCCCAAGCGTTAGAATCACAGCATGCCCTACCCCACGTGTTTTATGCGGTGCTCAGGCCTTGAGCATACTAGGCAAGCTCTCTACCAACTGCTGGCCACACACAGGAGAGACGTCAGCCTCCTCCCCCAATAAATCACTCATTAATACTTGCTTCTTATTCTGCCTCCTGCCCAGATTCTGGCAACTACCAATATGCTATCTCTGTGGTTTGGCTTGATCAGCCATTTCCTACAGATGGAACTGCGCAGCGCATGGTGGTCCTCCCACATGGCTTCTTTCCCTTAGCATCATGTCCCCAAGGTTCACTCATCCCTAGCATTGTATGAACTGAACGCTTGAGTCACTTCTGGGCCAGTGAGATGGCTCATTACACCACCAAGCCTGACAAATTGAGTTCAATCAATCTTCCACATAGTGAAGGAAAGAACTGACTCCCATAAGCTGTCCTCTGATCTCTCTACATGTGTGCCATGGCACATGGTACATGTGTGCCCACATACATACATGTGCAAAAAATAAGTAAAGTGTAAGGGCTGGAGAGATGACTCAGGGTTAAGAGTACTTCCTGTGCTTCCAGAGGACCAAGGTTCAGTTCCCAGAATCCACATTGGGCAACTCACTACAGACTATAATTCCAAGGAATCGGATGCCCTCTTCTGGCCTCCATGGGCATCTGCACACACATGGCATATATCCACACAAACACACATGTAGACACACACACACACACACACACACACACACACACACAAATCTACTAATTTTTTAAAAGTTATGTCACTCCAAAATTCATACCTTGAAATCCAACTAACATCATGGCATTTGGAGATGGGGCCTTCTGAACATGATTAGGGTTAGCTAAGGGAGTAATTGGTCCCTCATGGTGAGATGAAAGTGTTTGGAGGCTAGAAAGATGGCTCAGTGGTTAAGATCACTGGCTGTTCTTCCAGAGGACCTGAGTTTAATTCCCAGCACCCACACAATAGTTCCCAGCAATCTGTTAACTCCAGTTCCTGAGGAGCTGGTACTCTCTTCTGGCACCTCACACGTATGATGCATAGATACACATGCAGGCAAAATGCCCATATACATAATTTTTTTTAAAAAAATATATTTATTTATTTAGTTTGCTTGATGTATATATGTGCATGTACCTAAGTGTATGTATGTGTATCATATATGTCCAGACAGGTACTCTTGAGGCCAGAGGGTATTAAACCCGGAACTGGAGTTGCAGATGATTGTAAGACTTCTGATATGGATTCTGGGAACCAAAACGAGATCTCCTGCAAGAGCAGCAAGTGTTCTAAACCCCTGAGCCATCTCTCCATCCCCTGACTGTTCCTTTTGAAGTAGTCATGGCTCATGGCTCATGAACCTCCTGGTCTGAACAGTTCCTTTGTCTTCATGATGGTGGCTGCACTCTGAGTAACGGCTT